TCACTATGTTCCTTGAGCATCCTTATAGTCATTACTCTGACCTCTATGACTGACATGTTGCTTGCCTCCATTTCAGTTAGAGTTTTCTGGAGAGTTCTTTCATCTGAGGGGGGGTGTTTCTTTGTCTTCCCATGTTAGCTGTCTCTTTGTGTTTGTTTCTTTGTATTAGATAGAAAAGCTATGATAACCTTATGTATTAAGTGTCCCGTGGGACCCAGAGGTGCACTGTCTTAAGTCTCCTAAGCTGGATGCTCTTGAGTTATTTGGGCTCTCCTGTTGTAACTGGGTCTTGATTGTGTTGTCCTGTTCTTGGATGGGATTTCCCTCAGACTGTCTGACTGTGAGGTTCAACCCTGACCATGTTGTGTGAGCTAATGTACAGATACTGACAGAACAAAACGAGACAAAACAAAAGCATGCAAGAGGTTCCAACAATAGCAACAAAAACAACCACAAAAGAAAAGAGTTAGGAAAGAGAAAAGAGGACACAAATTAAAGAGAGAGAGAGAGAGAGAGAGAGAGAGAGAGAGAGAGAGAGAAAGAACATTGAAGGAAAAAAGGGGGGGAAAGAATACAAAAGGAGTGAAAAATAAGAATAATGAATAGGAAAAGGAATGGAGTAAAGAGAAGAGAAGGAAAAATTATGAAAAGGATAAAAGAGAAAGAAGAATTAAAATTAAAAGGAAAAAATCGAAGGAAGACAAAAAAGTAGAGTAAGAAGAGGAAAGATAAAAATAAGAGATAAAAAAAAGAAAAAGAATAATAAAGCAATAAAAAAGAAAAAATGAAAGTAATGAAAAAGAGAAAAAGCAAAGTGGAGTTCAGCAGAGGTTAGTGCCTGCTGCGATCTCCCTTTGGATCCTGCTCTTATATTTATTGAGGCTGTTCTGCATGCCAGTTCTGGGCTTCCTGGGAAGTGCTTTGGTGCTAGCCACTGTCAAAAGCTGTCCTTTTTTGGCTCTTGGGAACCTGTGTGAAGCTTCAAGTGACCCACAGTTTGTGGCTGCCTCCACAGGGCTTGGCTGCGGAGGGTCCAAGCTGCCCTCCAAGACTAGCTTTTTAGCAGCATGGGGTCCAGGATAGATCATGAGTTTGAGAACCAGATTTGAATCCTGGCTCCTCCCTGTACTGGATATATGATTTTGAACAAGTCACATAATCTTTTTGAGGTTCAAAATTTTTTTGTGTGTGTATAAAAGGGAAATATATTTACTTATCATTTTTTAAAGTAATAAATGAGAAAATATACATAAAGTACCCAACATAGTCTCTAACACTTTAATCACTGAGAGTTTTCTCATTATCAGGTCCAGAATTTGCATATTTGAGGTATCCTGCTTTTAATCTTCAGGGGATGAATGAATGCTGGCTGGAATCTTTGTGAAGCAAATATGATGGATCACTTAGACCTATCAGGTCCATCAACATTATTTCTTTTAATAGATACCTTAACATGGAAGAGCCATATGTCTTAAATGAATCTCTACTAGCATTTAAATCCTGAAAGCTGAAGTGTTTGGGCATAGGTGGAATTGTATATAATAAAAGACTAATATGCAAATCAACCGAACTGTGGAACAGCTGGTCACTATGATGTGCATTGACCACCAGGGGCCTGATGCTCAATGCAGGAGCTGCCCCCTGGTGGTCAGTGTGCTTCCACAGGGGGAGCGCTGCTCAGCCAGAAGCCGTGAACCAGCTGGCAAGTGCAGCAGTGGTGGCAGGAGCCTCTCCCACTTCCACAGCAACACTAAGGATGTCCAATTGCCATCAGTTGGACATTCCCCAAGGTCTCTTGGACTGCAAGAAGGCACACGCTGGGCTGATGGTCCTCCTCCCCCGAGTGCACGAATTTCATGCACCAGGCCTCTAATATATATATTTCCAGTTGGCTTTCTGAAGGAAATGTAGGAAACGTGGTTAGTTGGCCTTGAAAAACAGAGTTTTTATCTCTATGCTTACTAGTATAGTAGCAGTTGATATTATAGTATTTCCTTGAGAGGATATATGGTACTTCTTTTAAATACTAAAGAGACCATTTTTGGCCAGGAAAATATTTGTTTAGCCTCATCAAAAAGCTTTGAAAATGAAGTTTGAGAGGGGAGAAAATATTCCGGGTAGATAGTAAAGTAGCATCCTATGGAGTAAAATTAGTGGCACAGAAGATTAGAGAAGCATGTGTCTATGACTCCCAGAACACAACGAACAGATGCTGAAGATTCCTGACCTTTTCCACGTAATAAAGGCTCAGAGTAATCTTGAGAAAAGTAGAATAGATGCAGTTTTTTTGGGTGCCACTGAGAATTGGTGAGAAGAGTTCATGACTGGGCATTTGAATGTTTATTAGAGGCACTACGTTAAGTAACCATTTCTCATTTATTCTATAAAAATGTTATGAAGTAGATAATGTATAGCATTTACTCCCAGTTTTAATACAGAAACTGTGACTGAAGACAGTTAAGTATTTAGAGCTAGTAATGAACTTTTGATGGGTAACAGGACAGTGATATAATTGAATTACGTTGTCTTCTAACGTACTCTTCCTCTCATATGCTATAGCTGACTTAATCCTTGATTTTCCAGGATAGCAGAGAGAGTGAGCGCACTCTCATTACCTCCCTCACACAGAATTTGGGAGTGAGTGAGTCATGGTTACAGTTGGCACCAATATATTTTGCTATTCTTTTTGCCACATGACAGTTCTGCTCTGGACAAAGGACAACGAAATATAACAAGTAGTCATCCCCTTCCTCCAACTTCTGATTTTAGCAATAATTCTTCATTGTACTGTAAAGGGATCATTAGCCATATGTGGTGTCACTCATTTAGTTGTTCACTCCATCAGCACAGCCATCTTGAGTTTTGTGTAATCTCACTTCAGGTCAACCACAGCGCCCCTCTAGTTTCTTATGTACTTGCCAATCTTTCTCATTTTATTTTCTAGTTTCATCTCTTGTCTGCCTTCTATTCATAATGTCCCTTCTGGAAAGCTTCCTCAAGGCAGAGTTTAGGTACTTTCTCTTTGTGTGTTGATTTTTTTCAAGTATCTGATGATTTTTAGTTGTTTATTGATATTATGAGTGAAGGTTTAGGTATTAGACCAGGGGTGGGGAACGTTCAGCCCAACAGAAGTATACCATAAGGCCCGGAAATCATTTGGTCTGGCCCTGCCTAGGCATTAGGGGTGAGTTAATTAAATGTTTTTACTAAATCTAGCAGGCTAATTTTTACATTGATAATTTTGCATGGTTCATGAATGATGTTTAAATATCCAAATGGCTCTTGGTAGGAAAAAGATTTCCCACCTCTGTGCAGACTGTATGGCATTAGTGTAGGTTACTGGAGTGTGTTCCCTTTAACTTTGGTTAACTTTTATTACCCAGTAGCATCCTCCCTCAAACCAGAGGGCTGGTGCTGAGCTCCAGGTGTGGTAGGCAGGCTTCACTTTAGGGTGTGAGGGAGGCGGGTGGCAGTAGTTTCCAATAGGAAGGTTTAGTTTCTTTTTTTCTTTTAATTTGTAAGCTCCTTTTCGTTGCCAGATCTTTACTCAGTGAAGTCTTCATTTAGTATGTTCAAAATGGAAGATTTCGAGTCTCTAGAAAGGGTTTCTTTGGTTTTGGGCTGGATTCCATTGCAGCCACACCTTTAGCCAAGCAGGCATGGGAATGAAAGTGCTGGGAGGAGTGGATTCCAGCCTTTTGAATCCTTAGGCACTTCTGCTCCATTCCAGTTTCTGCTCTCCCAGCTCTGACCTTGGGGCCTCTCCAGAGTGCCACCAGAGGATGGCACATACCTTCATTTAGGACTTTCATGTTTATTCTTGGGTTGGGCTACTTTTGCTTTTATTTCTCAGCTCTGAATAGATTTATTACCTTTTTTCTCCTGTCACTTCAGTAAGGTAAATGGAAAGGAAGAGGCAAGCACATGTGCCTAGTCTATCATTTTGAAATGCTGAGCCAGAGGTTCTTTTGACAAGTTTGAGTAGTATTTGTGATTTTAAGAACTGAAACAAGCTTATTTAATGTATGTATTATTGTTTCACAAGTATTTATAGAATAGTTTGGAATGCTTATAGACTGTGAAGTTATTGTAATGTTGAAATACATCATCTATGTATGACTAACTTGTATTTTTAAAACAGTTATAAAGCTTTTTCGAGCAAGGACAGCCATAGATACCCAAATACCTAGGCAGGAGAGGATTGTGGTGCAGTTCCAGGTATTGCCATTAGCTAGTAGTAATTTATAACTGGGGCCAGAAACAAGGTAACTCTGGCTCATTTGATGTTTACATTCTTGAATTGTTTCTCATGTAATATTTGCTAATTTTAGGTCATATTCCTTGATGTAATCTCTCTCTCTCTCTCTCTCTCTCTCTCTCTCTCTCTCCCTCCCTCCCTCCCTCCCTCCCTCCCTCCCTCCCTCCCTCCCTCCCTCCCTCTCCCTCTCTCCCTCTCTCCCTCTCTTTTCCCCTCCCTCCCTCCCTCCCTCTCTCCCTCCCTCCCTCTCCCCCTGTCTCTCTCTCTCCATCTCTCTCTCTATATATATTGATATATGTGTATATATGTGTGTGTGTGTGTGAGTGTGTTGTGTGTGTGTCCCCTTGGGAGTTTGACTGGAAGACCGGGAGTTCGATTGCTCACTATGACATGCACTGGCCACCAAGGGGTGGTGTGGAGCGAAGGAGGGTCCTGGCCAGCAGCCAGAAGGCCCTGATTGGCCTTGATCACTGGCCAGGCCTAGGGACCCTACCTGTGCACGAATTTTGTGCACCGGGCCTCTAGTATTAAGATAAAACCTCTACTACATGTGGTTTACTAAAAAAAAGGACTGGTGGCCCTATAGTTAGATTTAGGTTGCAATTTGTGTTTATTTTAGTGAATGATAAAAGAATAATTTGCCATGTCTGTACTTCTAATAGAGTGAAAATGAATCTGTATGCAACATTATTTTTATTTCTTAATACATTTTGGGAAAGTTAATTGCGACTGTATGGTTCAGGGATTTAGTGCAAGAAGAAGAACAGTTGATGGAAGAAAAGAAAAAGAAAAAAGACGACAAGAAAAAGAAGGAAGCTGCTCAAAAGAAGGTAGTATATGTATAAACTTTATATTAAGCAGTTTAAACAAATTTAAATATAAAATTATTTTTATTGATTTTTTAAAGCATTTGATTTAATGTTTTAACTTCAGTGGAGTTTCATTTTAACCTTTAATGTCTTTGACTCTGCATGTATAGTAACTTGCCAATGCATACAATTTAACATATAGTTATTTAATCTTGCCAATAGTTTCTTTCAAAGGTAAGTGCTTTATAAGGTCTTTATCCTCCTATTAGCTGTTGCTAGGTTTTCATAGTCCATCATTTTGTAAGTGAGAAGAGCATGGAATTGGTAGTAGCTGCATAGAGGGGGCTTGAAAGCTGGCTCTCCCATATAGCATGCAGGACAGTATGGCCTTAAACTTTATTTAGCCCCTCTGGGCCTCAAGTTTTCTTAAATTTTGTAAAATGAGAATTAAATTAAATGAGATAGTGTAATACATACACAATTGAAAATAAAATAATACATGAATATGGTAATAAGGGAAACATTAATGCACATAATAGGAAATAAAGTACTGATTTATTTTTTACTTTTTATTTATTACCTGGACTGATTTTTTAAATTTGCAGTTTATATTATGATATTTTAGATAAATCTAAGATAATTTGCTGCAAAAGCTCTGTAGCCAATACATCATCAGAAACTAATCAAAGCAATACAAATTACAAAAAATAAAAGATTATATTCATAATTACAAAAACTTTTACAAATTAATACTTTAGACTTATGACAGTTAACTGAGCTGGCTCTCGTTTACAGTATTAAGGTTACACAAGGCCCTTAACATGTTCTGAAAGACCCAGTGAAATTGCTATTGCATTTTTGTGTTCTAATGAAAAATTATGACTTTTTTTTTATATATGCATAACTCTTGTGCCAGGCACTGTGCTAGGAACAGGATATATACTAATAGCAACATATCTCCACATTAAAAAAAAATTTATTAAAAAAATATTTTACTGATTTCAGAGAGGAAGGGAGAGCGGGAGAAATAGAAACATTAATGATGAGAGAGAATCATGGATCAGTCGACTGCCTCTTGCACGCCCCCCATTGGGAATCAAGCCCATAACCTGGACATGTGCCCTGGCTGGGAATCGAACTTTGTGACCTCCTGGTTCATAGGTCGATGCTCAACCACAGAGCCATACCAACCATATCTTTACATTATTTAATAGGGAAAAACATAGGATACAATACTATGGCAGATAGGGAACTGTTGAAGCATGGAGAGAAAGAGCTTAACTGAACCTGAAACAGGGCAGGGGCAGGGGAATTTTTTTTGGAATAGAAATTAGCCAAGTCAAGAAGGAGCAGAATACAAAAGGATTCCAAGCAGACTAACTTCAGAAGAAAGCGTCCATAGTCTCCTGGGAAACCAGGGGTTTAAATGGGGAGGGAGCCAAGGGTAGAAATGTCAGGTGAGGAAACGAGGGGTGGGAGGGTTGGTGGTAGCTATCAGCTCTTCAGGGGTTTGGGCCTTTGAGTCTACCTTGGCAGACTGTAGAATTGAATTGGAAAGGGTCGAAACTAGAAGCTGAGATACTGGTGAAGGGACTATTAAAAAAAATCCACAGAAATTTTTGAAAGGATATGGAGGGCAAGGAACCTAGATTGACTCTTAGGTTCCAGATTGAGTGGCTAGTAAGTACATTTTGGGAGCAGTTAACCATGTTAGACACAAAGAACTGGTCATCCAGGAACGTTGATGAGCTGTGGGAATTTAACTCTTGTTTATATCAATTAGCCTATGGTGAATTGGTTTCACTTTACTGCTTTCCCTGAAGTTCCCAGAACCTGTCCAGGACATTAAGTGAGGATTTACTGTAACTGGGGAAGGGCCATGGAGGAGGATAAGGTTGGGATGATAGGTGACTCCTATCATTGGCCTTTGGTTGCTCTCAGGAGTGACTGTTGTCATAGTTAGGGTTGGGATGGGTTTCTAGTTCAGGTATCCCTGCTTTTTGAAAGTTCATGTTATACCACTTTGCTTTTGTGAAGACCTACATTTAGTATTATAGAGTTTTGGCCTTGAATTTGATGATGCCATAGGCCCCTGCCAGAGACCTGTGATGTAGGATGGTCTTTGCAATCTGATCAGTCTTTGCTCAGGGTTTGTTGTGTCCTTTCTAAGTAAGATTGGGGGAAGATTTTTCAGACTCTTTTCGATGGTGTGAAAGGCATTTACTTAATGAAAAGAACTTGTAAGAAACAATAGATGTGTTGAGGAAGATTTATTTATTGATGTTGAATCACTAGTTTAGCAAGCACCTGAGATCCCTGCTTCTAAGGAATCTTAAGATTTAGCTGGTAGTCAGGATGTATGTGAAATGGTTAGAAAAGAGGCCTGAGGTATTATATAACAACCATGTTTATTTGTCTATTCACTCACTTCAGTGAGGAAATTCTAAGGAATTTTCACTGGAATTTCTTTGAATGTTGTGTTTGTAAAATATGTAATGTGAGTATAGTTTTTAAGTTGTAACATACAAATTGTGGCTCTAGTTGTTAAAGTGTCCATTTTTTCATATCCAGTCTGTAAATCACCTGTGTCTTTAACACGTAAATGATGATTTTTGTGCCATTTGGCTTCTTACCAGAGCTGAAGTAATAGCTTCCATCCCTGCCTCACTGTATGGTTCTAGTCTCCCATCTCAACCAAGTCCTACTAGAACCATCATCAGAGGCTTCATATGGAGAGTGTTTCCCCCTTTGGCATTGGTAGGGTATTGACAGTCATACCTTGTCACTGAACACAGTGTAAAGGAAAGGCAAAGACCTCTCCTGTTCAGTTTAGTAGGCTAGACTGCCTCTAAAGTGAGGCTTTCTCAAATTCCAAATAACCAGCTTACAACTGAATTTAAATACAACCTGTTGGTGAAGTGAAGACAGCTGGTATTTCTATAGGCTGTTACTAAGTAAATAGAAAAAAAAAACACAAAGCAAAACAAAAATCCTCAAAGCCCATATGAAAGATTGTGAGTCATAGGAGTTTCTGGACAAGTTTCTTCAAGCTTGTCGTTGTAGGAGTAAGCAGGTGTAGCCAGGTAAGTGACAGACATCTACATAAGCCAGGTAGGCGGGCCCATTATATAAATGCTGGAATTCGCTAAAGGAAAAGCAGTTTGCCTATTTCATGCAATCTGTGTACACTTAAAAAAAATTTTTTTTGGTATTTCATTTCTGAAAAAGACTTCAGATACTATATGTTCTAATCCACTCTTTATATATAAGGAACTCAGGCATTAAAATTAGTTAAGTGGCTGCCATGGTTTCATCAGGGTGATAAAAATAGGGTTGCAATTGAAATCTTCTACTTGCTCAGCTGGTGCTTTTCCAGAACTAGGTACCATGGCTTTATTCTTCGATACAGAACCTTCTTACACTTTTTGCCTTATTTTCACAATCTAAAGGTAAACTTTAAAGCTGGAAATAATATATTACAGTCATTTTTATAAGGCATTTAAAAGGTCTTTATGCCAGAGATACAGAAAACAAAGTTTCTAGTAGCCGTTATAGTCATTTAAAGAAAATTAACTTCAGACCACAGGTTATATTTTTAAATAAAATAATAGATAACACAACTCCTTATATAAATAATCAGACACCAACAAGGCTCACTACAGTGTTTTTATTATGATGGTTTTTCTTATTTTGTCTATTATATAAATAGAAATTTATTTAAATTCCTCCTTAAAGAAAAATTACACGACTTTTATTATGTTCCAGCCCCAGTACATCATTATGAGTAGAGATAACTTTGTTTAAAAAAAATTTTTTTTTTCCAAAAGCCTATTTCACATCTAAGAAGTATGGCTATTTACTTATCTTCTGATTCTAAGACTTAGAAAATAAGTTGGCATAACATTGAAAATATAGTTCCTATACTTAAAAAGGGGAAACAATTGTAACAATAAGTTGTTACCTTATATTTATACCCAGGTTCTGTTCTTAGAAGAAATTTCTAGAAGGAATCTTGAATATGCTGCAAGGAGGAAAAGGAGGTTGAGAAATGGGTTAATTATAGAAGGGATAACTTTAGTATAATCTTTACTTTAAGTTTGTAATTGTAGTTCCTAGAAAACATTTAATTGTTGAGGGCTGGAAGGATGCAACAATACAAATTGGGATCTTATTTTAATTGAGACAGTTTTGTTACTATATTAAAAGCTGAAGGGACTTTTATAGGCTTTATGGATTCAAATGAATATAAATGAGACTTCATTCTCTTTTAAAATTTCAGTGTTTATTTTCATGTCTCCCAAAGACTATTTTGTTTGAGACTGGGGATCATATTCAGCAGCGTAAGTAGCAGGGTTGTTTTGTTTTGTTTCTTTTTCAGTAAGCTAGGTTAAGCATTTCACTCATCTAGGGCATCCCCTTACGGTCCTGCCTCTTATTTTAGCTTCCTACAGTCAGATGCTGCATAATGATGTTTGGGTCAATACTGACTGCATATACAACAGTGGTCCCATAAGATTACACCGGAGCTGAAAATTCCTATCGCTTAGTGACGTGGTTGTAGCATGGTACAGTGCACAAATACCATTGTAGCATGTGGTATAGGTTCATAGTCTAGAAGCTGTGGGGGTATAGAACATGTCATCCCTAAATATGTCTCTTTGGCATTAGGATTATTTTAGGCTGGTTTATTTTAAGAAACAGCAGATGTGGGAGAAGTTCTGAAAACCAACTAAAGTTACAGACATCTGCATTGTAAGGGAAATCTACATTTGCCGGGGTGTGTGTCTCCCTGCCTGTATGAGGAAGAGGGGATGACCTCATCTCTAGAAACTCTTATCAATGGAGAAGATAATGACAAACCTACATAACCACCTTACCCTAGTTTACTGTGCTATTCATGGGACCTTCCTTCATCACTGACTCCCTCCAACCTCAGCATCTTCCATGTTTACTGAAGATGGTATTTAAGGTGGTGGGTCCAGTTATTTTGATGAGACCTAGTTTTCCTGGATATTCTCCCATGTATCCAGGAGGTATATGTGTCATTAAACTATTTTGCTTTTCTTCTATTAATTTATCATTTATTACAGATGTCTCAGTTAAGAACCCAGAGGGTAGGGGAAAAGTTACTTTTCGTCTCCTGCAAAGCAGTAGGTTATACCATACAGCCTAGGTGTGCAGTAAGCTATTCCTTCTAGATTAGCGTAAATGCCTTTGTGATCACACATCCATATCACCTCACAACGCAGTTCTCAGAATGGATCCCCATTGTTAAGCAGCACCTGATTATTCCCTTTTTCCTTTTTTTCTTTTTGGACTCATTTTAGTTCAGCAGTCCTCGGTTCTAAACTGGGTGCTACTTGCTAAGAAATTACAGAAAAGTTCCCTTACAAAAAATTATCTTATTTAAAACAAGTGAATTGAACTGTTATTTCCTTATTCTAATACCTGGCATTATTAAGACATTGTAGATTACTAGAAAGAAAAAAGCAAGACATTGGGGACTGGGAGTCAGGTTATTTGCAAATATGAGAGAAAGGTGGGGCTGGTAGCAGTGGCTGCTGATAATCTTTTAAATGCCAGACACTGTCCTAAGCACTATATTTGAGTTAAATCATTTTACCCTCATACCACAAAAATCGGTTCCATTTTCTCCTCGTCAGTTAGGAGTGCTTGGATTCCATGACTTAGATTTCTTCACTATATTAATCAGTGTTGTGATCGGCAGACACCTTCAGGTGTCTCTGTTGCTATTCTCTATAGATGACAGGCAACTGAATGAGATTGGTCATTGTTCAGAAGCAGCATGGAGCTGTTCCAAAGGATTGCAGACACGGTGTCCTTTATGTTGTGAGGTCTAGAGGAGCAGCACTGAATATCTAGGATTTAGTAATGTGGTCATGGTTCTGTGTACTGTAACTTAGTTTTCTTTGAAAGTAAATTATGGAAGAGTTAAAAAAAAAAGATTTTCAACTTGTAAAATACTTTTATGCTAAATTTTTGGCTTTAGAAAGCTATGTATGTTATTGTTTGATGTGACACTTCCATACTTCAAGGTGTTTATACATCGAGTTCTCTCTAATAAGACTGTTTTACTACTGCTAGATTTTTAAAACAGTTTCTCCAGAAATAAATTAAGTGTTCATGCTAATTGGCTCATCTTTTGCCATTGTCTTTCCATTAATTTTTAAAAAATACTTGATCCATATATAGTAAAAGATGGGCCTCCATTATTTAACATATCACTAATGCTCTAAAACTTGGTAAAGCACGTCAAAACCTGGACTGATTCTGGCTCTCCGGGGAGAAAGATAATGTTTGGTGTGTCTTCAATATTAAGGTAATTGCCATATAGTTCTTTACCATATAATTCTATAATGATATGGTTAAAAATTGGTATTTTTATTAACAGTAATTTTATATGACAAAGCAAAGGTGAATTATCAAATCAAACCCATGGCAGGCAGTTAAGAAATGCTTCACTTAGAAGTAATTTCTGGTTATCCGTTACAATTCAGTCTTTCCTTGCTTTCCTGCCTGTCCTTGTATCTTTTATTTTTAAGACTCCCATACAATTGGTCTTAATTTTTTTTAAAAAGTTGATTTTTGCTGTGGCCTCTGTGTATAATCAGTTCTCTCTTTTGAGCCACGGTAAGGAATCTGTATAGTGCCAGAGCCCCCTCCCTCTGTGTCACAGACAGGGGAAGTAGGGTTAGTGTTGGCATGGAAAGCAAGGCTCATGTCCATGTGAGTTTACCTTCTGAACATGGATATTTTAATGAATTGTCAGATATGTCGGAAGTGACATGTATTTGAAAATTTTTCCCAATCAAAAATATTCAAGATAACTATGTTTAACTGTAATAGCAGCCTAATTATTACTAATTTGCCCAAGTGTTATCTTCAACTTTTCTTTCAGAAAACTTAAGTTCATTTTTTATCATTTGAAAACAATTTTTTATGCCATTTAAACGTGCAGACCTAATTAGATGCATTAATGGAAAGGTGATGATTATATAAAAATCATTTACAAATTAAGTGATAAATGCAGTCCCATTTTTTATTGTACATTGTCATAGTGTCTTCTCTGTGTTGCATCTACAGAAACACTTTTTTAAATTTTATTAATAAACATTGTATCAGAGACAATCGGGCACATCTCTGGGAAAAGCATGCTGTCTTTGCATATCTTTTCCAATGTATTTCACCTAAATGACAAATTCCTTATAAAAGTGTATATGTCTTATATAATAGTAATCTATTAACATTTTATCATAACAATCCATTTCTTTCAGTTTCATATTTACATTGTTTTTTATTTGTTTTTATTTTAGGCCACTGAACAAAAAATCAAAGGTACGTTTAAAGCTATTTTTATTCTTTTTTATTTTGTTTTTATTCACCTCTAGGGTGGGAGAGAGACACGAATGAAAGAATCAGAAGGGTGGGGACAGACTTCTTCAGAGTCATCACCTTGGAGTTATCCTTTGAGTTTGGGTTTTATTGTGATGGCTGTTCCACTTTATTTAGAATAAACTGCCTCAGGACCTGTTTTACAGCTGTCTCTGAAGACGTACACCACTTCCTAACAAACTTCCTTGGTTTAGTATGTGAGCGCAGGTACCTTTGCTTCTGTCTTCCATCAGAAGTCCTCTCTGGGGCTACCTCTAGGACACACCTCGTCCCGTTTATTTCTTGTTCTCTGTATACACTGGGCCCCACTCCTTCCTGTAGCAGACCTGCCATCCACTCTGTATTATCACTGAAGATAGGAGATTCTAACCTTATTGTCATTTGTACCAGGCTGAACAACTCCTAGTACATAGCAGGCAAAAGTCTTGAGGGAGGTAAGGTAACAGGATCTGACTTCCTCTCAGATCCTAAATCAGGAATTCTTCATCCTCCCAGGAGTTGATTTACTTGCTAATTAGGGCTTTCAGATGCTGAACTTATTGGGCCTAAAGATTCTGAATTTTTACTTTGAGCTGTAGCAAAAGTATGATCTGTGCATTTGGTTGATAAACAGTCAGTATTGCCTATTTTAATTTGAGGTCAGCGTTGGTGAAGGTTGCATTTATTAGGTACAGTTGTAGAAGAGGAAACAAAAAATATTTTTAGCTTATATCTTATTGGAGAAAGTGGCAATAAAAGGGCATACCCAAACATGATATATGATATGATGTGATTTGGTTAAAGTAAAAATGTCTGAGTTGTCCTGGAGTCTAGAGGGGTAATAATTAGCTTAACACAGTGGATTAAGGAAGGCCTCCTTGAGGAAGACCTTGAGATTATGACTCTTAAAAGATAAAGGAGCCAGTCAAAAAAAAAAAAAAAAAAGGAATGAAAAGGCAGAGGGATCAGCATGATGAAGGCAAGAGATAGGCAACAATGTGGTACTATGCATAGTGGTGGAATTTCTAGAACATTAAATGCCCAGTGATAAGTGGACAGGTTGGAAGGCTTTTTCTGAAGAGAGAGGTAGGGTTCAGGTAAAAGAGAGCTTCATATCCTGTGTGTACCAACATGGAACTTTTATAGGCAGCTAGGAGGCACTGGAGAGTTTAAGAGGAGTGACATGGTTGGTGTTTTTTGTTCCATCTTTAAAGCTTTCAATCATTAGTGGAGAGTGTTGGCTGAAAGATGGAGCTGAGAAAAAGAAAGGCACTCTGAGCAGAGGAGGCAGGTGGACAAGGGGATATTTAGGGAGTGATTATAGGGGTGTTGGGAAGTGGCAGAATATAGGCCTGGAGATAGGCAGACAAGTGCTTATGCTGGCTAGAGAGTGGACAGCCAGCAAAGGTTTCTGCATTTAGAGGTCATGGTCATAAGCTGTGCTGCAGGAACATCTCTTTGTCACTAGTGTTCAGCGTCACCAAGAAAAGCAGTACCAGAGGGTAGAGGAGGCGTAGAAAAGGTAACGAAGATCTCAGCTGCGGTCTTGGCAGTAGGGGTGGAGGATAAATGACAGATTGTGAGGCATAAACTACAACTGGTGAGATCAGAAGGCTTGAAGGTGATACGTGGCTTTGAACCTGGATGTCAGAACGTTGCAGGAATGTAGAATGATCCTGGGAGGAACAGTTGTCACATTACTTTAGTAGGAATGTGAGCAAATTTTCTTAAAACTCCACTTTTCTCACACCAGTCGTAAGTTGTCCCTTGCTCTTTGCTTGAAGACCAGACTCCTCTGGTTGGCTCTCAAGGCCCTCTTTAATCTGACTTCCCATGGTCTAACCAACCTGCTTCCAGCAGTCTTCTCAGCCAAGGAGGCCTTTTAGCCTTTCTAACCGGCTCAGAGTTTATCTTTAAATCGATCGTCCCAACTGCCATTCGTTCCTCCTTTTCTGATTTCTTAGGATGCGATGCTGTGTCTTAACTTAGGGGCATTGCGTTACGTTCTCTCTTGGATTTTTTACTGGATATCACATAGATACTTGTTTCTCCAACATAACCTTTTGGTACCTATTGTTTGCATCCTTTCCAAATATGAGTCATCGTTTTAGATCCATACATCAAATATGAACAGGTTTGAATCTCCTGAGAATGTCAGGCTTCTGAATGCAGTATGTTGTTTTGCCTACTCTTTTACTCACTCATCCTTACATTGACAGCAGCTACCTTCAAAATTGGTCATGTTTGTTCAGATTCATGCAGGTGTATTGCTGACCTTTGTGCTCTGTGTAATGCCTATATGGTGCTTATGGTTTGGGAATTAGAGATTACTGGCTGGAAACTCGTGGGATAGGTTTGGCCCATAGTTGCTGGTGGTGTTTGCTAAATTCTGTATTTTGGGATAATTTGTGACTTACAGAAAAGTTGAGAAGATACTACAGAGAGTTCCCCATATACACCTCACCCAGTTTTTCAATTATTGACATCTTCCATTTCCGTGGTACATTTGTCAAAACTAAGAAACCGGCAGTGGTACTAACTGAACTCTACACTTGATTTAGATTTCTCCATTTCTTCCATTAATGTCTTTCTGTTCTGGGATCCAATACAAGATGCATGACACATGTAGTTGTCATGTTTTCCTAGACTCCTCTGGTCTCCATAGAATGTTTGTATTATTATCCTTTACATTTTTTATTGCCAGCATTAAAAAAAACAGGAGACACTCCCCCCCACCCAACTGTCAGCATCATTTTTTTGACTTTCTGTATTAGAAAGTCTATATTAAAGCCCAAGGTTAGTCACATGTGGCTACTGAGTCCTTGAAATGTGGCCGAGGAGCAGAATTTTAATTTTATTGGTCTGCATAGCTCTAGAGTCTAGAGCCTTCTTGATGGTTGAGAGTCAAACTGAGCATTACTATTGATAGTTAGCTGCAGCACCCCTGTGGGATTCTGCGGTAATGAGCTGGTTCTTCCCAAGGCTGCTGCCATTTTCAGTTTAGTAACACCCACTGATGTTGCTGCCGCTCAGTGGTTCAGCTGTTTATATGAAAGTTGGATTTTTGTCAAGCGTCATAAATTAAATTTTTGACCAGCTTTCTTATGTGTAGATAACTAGATACTTATTTCTTGGTGCAATGGATACATGATTCACCTAATAAAAACATGGACTAGTATGAGTGGCAATGAAATTCTTAAATGTTTTATTTTTACCCTGTAGAAAACGGTAAAGAGCATGAATAGTTCAATGTTTGACTATTTGAAATCTTTAAATATATATATATATATATATATATATATATATGTATATATATATATATGTATATGTTATGGCCCTGGCCATGTAGCTCAGTTTTTAGAGCGTCATCCCGACGTGCCAAGGCTGCCAGGTTCAATCCCTAGTCAGGGCACATACGAGAATCAAATAATTAATTCATAAGTAAGTGGAACAACAAATCCATGTTTTCTCCATTGCTCCCTCATTCCCTCTTTCCCTCTCTCTCCCACCCCTCAAATCAATAAATAACAATTTTTAAAAATTGTATATTATGATTATTTCTGAAACAGCAGGGGAGTGAAGTGTTGAAAAATTTACAGTGGAGGTATAGGAATAGATGGATAAACTTATAACATGCCCTGTGGCCTTTATCATGTAGGGCACATGCCTGGGTTGCGGGCTCAATACCCAGCAGGGGGCGTGCAAGAGACAGCCAGCACTGATTCTCTTTCATCATTGATGTTTCTCTCTCCCTCCCCCTCTCCATCTGAAATTAAAAAAGGAGTAATCCTTTTTATTGAATTTTGGGGAATGTTTGGGATCCAGAGAGGAGCCACAGCAACAGGCTGGGGATTCAGACTGTCCTTGGAAACCTGGGGAAGAATAAAGGTCATTTAAAAACAAACCAACAGGTTTTTAGTTCTTATTTTGGAAGCATGCTGGTTGTATACATTCCTTACAAAAGAACACACGCTGCTGCCTCTGCTAGTGTGGCTCAGCTGGTTATAGTGAAGTCCCATGCACCAAAAGGTGGCAGGTTCCATTCCCAGTCAGGGCACATGCCCAGGTTGTGGGTTGGATCTCCCAGTCTATTTTTTTCTCTCTCCCGCCCTTCCTTCTTCTAAACATACATGCAGATCTATGTAAAAAGAAAATACACTGATAATTTTTAACAGCTAATATTTAGTTGTCTATCTATCATTCCAGAGCTTGCTTTAGGTGACTTCATAAGCAAGCTATATTTCAGGAACTAACAAACTCAGAGCCCCTAAAAGGAGGAGAGGGGAACCTGGGATGGAAGAAGGAATAGAGGAAAACAGATTTGTTTTGTTTTCTGGTGGTCACATGGGGAAGCATAGTTTATTACTGCTGTTCTCATTCTGGATTAAAAACTCATGAAAATTGAATCAGTATTTAAAACACATTTTTGTTTCTGCCACAGTTGGAAACCATTATTCTTACTCAATTCTACCCTAACAATTTTTTAAAATCACTCAATCCTATTGCTCAAAACTGTTGATCTAGGAAGTGATCAAAATACATGTCAAATCATTTTGGAGACATCCTGACATCTAACTGCGTATTTACTGTGTGCATTTCACTGTGCTTTATTTACATACTCCATTTAGTTAAGGAAAATATTCTAAAAATTTAATTACTAATAACAAATGGGCCCTGGCCGGTGGTTGGTTGGTTGGTTGGAGCACCATTCTGTGCACCAAAAGGTAGCAGGTTTGAATCCTGGTCAGGGCACATTCAGAAGACAACCGATCCATGTTTTTCTTTTGCTTCTCTCCTCTCCTCCCTTCCTTTGCCCTCCCCTCTCTTCCTCCCCCAGCCCCCTTTTTCTCTCTAAAATAAATTTTAAAACATTAAAAACAGTAAACAAATGGGTACCATTGATTCAGAATATGTACTGGAACAGGGTCCTACAGCTTAATGTCTTAAGAGTAATCCTTTTTGTC